CCTATTCCCACCCTTGTGCTCGGAAGAATAGACTTATATATCGCTTTACCGTGATTTACAGCCCTCTCTAAGCGGTTTACAGAGTCGGCCTCTTGCCCCCAACAATCTGGGTCCTCATTTTACCGATCTCAGAAGGATGGAAGGCTGAGTCAACCTTGAGCCTGGTGTGAGATTCGAACTGCCAAATTGCAGGCAGCCGGCAGCCGTATCCTGCAGTACTACAGTCTAACCACTGGCTCAGAAGCTGGCATGAGGTTCTCCAGAACTTCTCCAACCTGCTCTGATGATGCCTAGGCTTAGAGGAATCTTCTCCAGTCCGACCTGACCTCAACTGGGCTCCTCGGACTCCCCAACTGTGCCCCCATCGCCACTGCCATCAAGCCCATCCATTGACCTTGCTGTTGGTTGTCCTCTTCTTCTCCATCCTTCCACCCAACGGCCTCCCCCTCTATCCCTCCCGCTCACCCGCCGGTGCCTGCAAGATTTACCAAATGAGCTCGGATGGGGAAATGAGCCAGCAAGCCCAAGCGATGGTCAAGCATGGAGCCTTCAACCACCTCCTGGTAGGTGGAGGAGACATTAAAGCGGAAAGGACAGAGCGGAAAGGGAAAGCTGGATGAGGAACACGAAGCAGCCACTGCAAAATGGACCAGATCAAACATGCTATTCCTCCACGTTCAAGTAACGGAGGAGGAGGAGGAGGAGGCATCTGGCAGTTCGAAGGAAGACAAAATGTATAGCTCAGGATTGAACTGCGGAGTCCTTGGTGTTCTCTGAGCTTGGTGGGTTTTCTTGCAGACGTTTCATAACCCAACTAGGGAACATCATCAATGCTACTAGTAGTAGCGGCAGATATTTAAATGTAGGAGCTGGAGCAGTGGGGTTGGGCAGTGATCCAGAACAACAGCTCAAGCTGATTGGTTGGGCTGGCGCCTGCGTGAGGCAATCTGTGCTACAATTGATTGCTGTGAGTGTGGAGAGGGAGTCTTCCCCTTTTCCCGCCTTTTTCTTCCAGGTGCCATTTGCTCTGCGATTTACCTCACGATGCTCCCGTTTGCCTGATTATCTAGGCTGCTGCATGCATAGTTGTAAAATACACTTATTTATATAAAACGACACATTCGTGTCAACGTCTCTGACCCCATTGGGAGATCTGCTGTGGTCTTGATGGGTGCGTTCTGGGTGGCTCCCTGATTAGGATCTTGTTTAATCTTTCCTTGCCTGTGTTGGTAGTTCCTCCTACCAGGTTCCTTTAATCCAGTGGTTCCCAAACTTGGCAACTTTAAGACTTGTGGACTTCAACTCCCAGAATGGTTCCACCACAAATGCGCGAACGACAAAAGCGCGTCTGACTAAACTGCNTAAAGACTGTAACCCACCCGAATGGTATGAATGTTGTGCTTTTAATTATGTACTGTTTACGTGTTAAATGTTTGTTTCCCCCCCCCCCTTTTGAGTTGTAAGCCGCCCTGAGTCCCCCCAGGGAAAAGGGCGGCATATAAATAAACTCTCAAAAAAAAAAAAAGACCTTCAAGGTCCCTTCCGACTCTCTTATTCCTCAATATCCGTGGAGCTTGAAAGGACAAACTCCCCCAACCCTATTTCTGTGATACCAGGGTCTGAGCGGCTTCCCCTGGCTTCTAGGGCTGGGCACACATCCAGCCCCCTTTGCTTTCCTTCAAAACTGGGTCTTGAGATCAGGTTATGGGGCTTCTCTTAGGCTCCCATTCCCTAAACGTGGCTTCCCTCCCCTCCTTTCCTTTTCCTCTTGGTCCACATTGGACTTCCCAACAACTCCCGCCCCCCTCAAGCCCCAATCATACCAATTTCCTCTTGAGGATGGGTGTCCCTTCAGGGGTGGGAGGTTCCACTGGGGTGGTGTCCCCCATATCTCCAAGCCCGCCCGGCGCATCAGCGGCCGTTGAACGGAAATGCTCTTTCTTTGGATCCGCTCCGTAACCTTCTCCACCTTCCACAGTTGCTTCCTCCTTGCCGGGCTCCACGATACTGATTTCTTCTCCTTCTTCCGTCGCCTGCTCCTCTTCGTCAGAAGGAGCCACGTCTCCATGAACCTCATCCTGAGTTGGGTCGGGCATGCTGGCCAACAGTTCGGTCATGGTGAGCTTCTTGGCCTCCTCCACCAAGCCACCGCCAAAGAGGGTGTTCCAGATGAGCAGGAAGAAGCCCTTGAGGACGCTGTAGAAGAAGACAAGGATGCCCATTAAGATGGTGTAAAGGAAGGTGGCCACTCCCACGGCCATCTCCTTGACCGTCATCTTCTTGACTTTGCGGAACTGTCGGCGGATGTTGCGGTAGGTGAACAAGTGGAAGAAATTCAGGATGCTCTCCAGAAACTCCCCAAAGACCGAAGACGCCTCTGAAGGCGCCGACGCACTCTCCGATTCCCCACTTTCGGTGCTTTCTGCTTCTTCCTCCTCCTCTTCCACTGCCTCTCCTTCCTCCTCTGAAATCTGGGAGGCGATCTGCATCTCAAAGATGGTGTCCTCACAGAAGTTGATGAAGAGCTCCATCTTCTCTGACTCGGCTCCTTCGTTCACCACGTCGAAGATGAACTGCCTCTTGGATTCCTTGACCTGAGGCATCTCCCACTGGGTCTTATTGGCTTCGCTGATCTCAAAGTAGATGCGTTCAATGCGTTTGCTGGCCCCCATGATCTCAATGCGGCCCAGGTAAGGATTGAAGTAGTTGAGGATGCACTCAGCCAGTTCCAGGAAGGTCTTCAGGCGGGCGTCGTGAGGCATATGCTCCGAGAGGTTTGTCAGCAGCACAGCAATGTTGAAGCCAATGTCTTTGGCGGGCTCCTGGAAACGGTTGGCAAACTCTTCGTAGTCAATCATCTCGTTCTCATCGGCCTCTGAGCAGGAGAGGAGGAACTGGATCTCCGACGGCGTGTATTGCTTCTGACTGTCCATGGCCTTCTGGAAATCCTTCTTGGAGATGAGGCCCCGCGGATCTGTGATGTAGTCGCGGAAGGCATCGGAGGCCACAATGTCCTTGAGTTTCAAGAACATGTCGAAGAACTTGAGGATCATCTCCACGTTGCTGGAGGACTCCACCAACATGTCCACCATCTGCCGGGCGATGGTGCCGTGCACCACGTTTCCTGAGTAGATACAACCAAGGATACAAATTATATTTTGACAACGGGACTGCAGAAACACAAGAAAGTTATGCTGTCCAGGGTTTATTCTGTTCCTCCATCAAGAGAATGGAAGTCAGATCCAGACGGCTTTGTCTCTCTTGGGTAGACAACACAATTACATAACGTCAGAAGTGTCGCAAAGGGGCTTTTTCCAAAGGCAACTCGCCTTCTTTGCTTTTCTGAATTGAAAAAGCTTCTTGGATGAGAAGTGAAACGTCTTCTAGGGGGAAAAGTCAAGTTGTCAGGCCTGCATTTATATTCCTTTTAGAATTTTGGCCTGCCACACTTTCTCTTATTTCAATATGCTGTTTCATTAGTATAGTTAATGGGAGGGGGGAATAGACAGGAGTAGGATTGTGGAATGTATTGTTTTCATTCTCTACTACCAAGGTGGCGCAGTGGTTAAAAGCAGCCCTGCAGGCT